TTAACCACTCCACGTAAGTCACGACCAACAATATAAAGAAGCCAACCAATCGAGGTCGCCAGATTTTATTCAATCAACGATATGCTTCAGTAAGAAAAGTTTTATGAATTCTGATGCAAATCGTTGTAGACAATATTCAACTCTCGATTGTTTATAGATATTTTATGAAAAGTCTTATAAATGAGCATTTCGACCGATGGAAGCGTTGATGCGATCATATCTTCAGAATGGCTCTACTGGCTGACCTGACATTTCTTGTAGACATATATCTGTATAAGTTCTACTTAGGATAGCAACTCCAACCAAAACTATCAAGCCTTTAATTTTTTTATGACTCATCTAGTATGGACAAAAATCTGCATTTAAGGTAACTTCATTGCTTCATAACTCGTGATTGAAATTAGATAGAGATCAAAAAGGACGGGGGACATTTTACGTGCATTTCGGCCCCCCAAGAAAATGAAGACAGATTTACCTCAAACTTTCAGCAAATACTCAGCTACATACCAGTAGCCACCACACAAAATTTCAACTTGATCCGTTGAACTATTCCTTCACTTTCACCACACCCAAAATGTACATATAGATACCCTATAGGGATCACCTTGTGGCCCCTCGTTCTTCACTATACGATTCAGACTCAGAATGATTTTTCTAGGATTACTAGGAATACGTAAGGGCTACAATATTGCAAGGACATGAGGTCCACAAATAACCTGCCTTGGTATCCATTTGAAGTACACAGTGCCAAAAATCCATGAGAAACTCATATAGAGGCAACCGTGTTGACCCTCGTTCCCCACTATACGATTCAGAACCGGAGCCATTTTTTCAGAGTCACTAGAAGTCAGCGAGGGCTACAATATTACAAAGACATGAGGTCCACAAATAACCTGCCTTGGTATCCATTTGAAGTACACAGTGCCAAAAATCCATGAGAAACCCATATAGAGGCAACCTTGTTGGCCCTCATTCCCCACTATACGATTCAGAACCGGAGCCATTTTTTCAGAGTCACTAGAAGTCAGTGAGGGCTACAATATTACAACGACATAAGGTCCACAAAAAACCTGTCTTTGTATCGATTTGAAGTACAGAGTGCCAAAAATCCATGAAAAATCCCTGTAGAGATAATTTTGCTGACTTTGGTTCTCCACTATACGATTCAGAACCGGAGCCATTTTTCCAGAGTCACTAGAAGTCAGTGAGGGCTACAATATTACAAGGACATGAGGTCCACAAATAACCTGCCTTGGTATCTATTTGAAGTACACAGTGCCAAAAATCCATGAGAAACCCATATAGAGGCAACCTTGTTGACCCTCATTCCCCACTATACGATTCAGAACCGGAGCCATTTTTTCAGAGCCACTAGAAGTCAGTGAGGACTAAAATATTTCAAAGACATGAGATCTACAAAAAACCTAACTCGTATCAATTTGAAGTACACAGCGCGAAAAATCCATGAACAGGCCATATACAGGCAACCTTGTTGACCTTGTTTCTCCAATATGCGATTTGCATCAAGAGTTGTTTCGCTAGAGTCAGTGAGAATCGACAGTGGCTAGAAGCTACCACACATACGAGATGTAGCAAAAGCTGGCTTGGTATAACAATAGAGCACGTAGTGGCGGGTATCCATGAAAAAGTGCCTTCCGGGTGAATATGGGTGTCGAATTGGTGTTGCCTTAGTAAGAAAGACGACCGACCCACTGATCCACTTGCATCCAGACAGCGAAGTCACGTATAGTTGTGCCAAGTCTTCTTCTCCGATCCCCCCATTCATCGTCAGGATCACCACTTAAAAGAATGTTATGTAGGAAATAGTTTGATAAAAGCACAACCTAAGTTGCATGCCAGATAAACAAATTAGATAATTCAAATCCCACACAGCCTACTACGATTGATCATCACTGCATGACACTAACGCAACTTATTGATAACTGAACACATCCTGCATTGCATAGTTGACATCTACATAGTTCCCCCTAGTTAATGGTTTTCAGTGTCGAACTTACTTAATATTCACACAGATAATACACAACTATTCGGAAGCCTGACTCCCATAGTGATAGATAAACGTATCCAACATTCCCTCTGCCATAATTTTCACACCGCCTTTTCAACCCTCTGTACATCAACGTGTAGTCCCCGCTGTTTTTACTCAAGGTGAAGTGTATCAGATACCGTAGTTTTGACTGATTCCTAGTCACCCTAAAAAAAACCACTCCGGTTCTGAATCGTATAGCGGAGAAACAAGGTCAACAAGGTTACCCCTACAAGGACCTTTCATGGTTTTTTGCACTGTGTACTTCAAATCGATACAAAGACAGATATTTTCTAGTCCTCATGTCCTTGTAATATTGTAGCCCTTACTTATTCCTAGTAATCCTAGAAAAATCATTCTGAGTCTGAATAGTATAGTGGAGAACGAGGGTCCACAAGGTGATCCCTATAGGGTATCTATATGTACATTTTGGGTGTGGTGAAAGTGAAGGAATAGTTCAACGGATCAAGTCGAAATTTTGTGTGGTGGCTACTGGTATATAGCTAAGTATTTGCTGAAAGTTTGAGGTAAATCTGTCTTCATTTTCTTGGGGGGCCGAAATGCACGTAAAACGTCCCCCGTCCTTTCTATTGGTGCTGTAGTTCATACAGATGTATATTTACTGGAAATATCAATCCGGCACATCGTTCCTTGTGGCCATTAGATTCCTTTTAAAAATGGTTTTTTTGATGAAAGTCGTGCTTTTCACACGAAATTTCCTCCCAAGAAATGATAAAATTTGAGAGCTGACGAGGGTACACCCCCAATTGAAGCTTCACTTTTGACGTGATATTTTGCCTATATAGAGACCTTAGTGAGACTAGAAAAACCTCAAAATGATTTAGGTTTCTATGACTTCCTTGTTGAGATATGAAGTTCACACCTTCTCTAACAGTGCTATAATTTATATTGGTATACGATGCAATGTCAATTTTTTCACAATGATATGAAATACAGACTTACAGTTTATTTTTGCGTGAACCACATTTTATAGTGGCCCTATATGACACACTTCTTTTTAGCTCTAGCAAAGATTTCGAAGGTCAGCTCTTTTCTTTTCATAAGTTTCCACATGTGCAAAACAGTCTTATTGAGTATATGCTGAAATTCTTATGTATCATGAACAAAAGTGAACACTTATATAAATTGAACCTAAGCAATGCAACCAGAACAACTGAACTTTGACAATATGATGAATTAGTCTATGAAATAGGCAAAGAAAAAATGCTTAAAGCACAACTCTTTGTGACACCAACTACACTTGATAAAGGAAGAGTTGTCACAATTTTCTTCTTTGAAGACCGACTTTGTCAGATTGAAGCAAATATTTTTGACTGTAGGAAAGTCATCAGGATCAGCCATTAAATAGTCGCTCGTGTACCAAGCATAACGAATTAGTATGAGAAGATAAAGTCAATACTGTCGCTTACTAAATGAAGCGTATGTTTATACACGACTCGTCTAAAAAAACTAGGCTTCATTTTGGAAGCTCTCGTTCATGAAAGCTAGTGTCAGGCAAGGAAGCTTGATATGTGTGGTTAGGAGTCTCTGTCAGAGCTAAAAAAGTGTGTCATATATGGCCGCTATGAAATGCCGTTCATGCAAAAAAAGAAACCGTAAGTCTGTATTTCATATCGTTGTGAAAAAATCGACATTGCATCGTATTCCAATATAAATCATAGCACTGTTAGAGAAGATGTGAACTTCGTATCTCATCAAGGAAGTCATAGAAACCTAAACTATTTTGAGGTTTTTCTAGTCTCACTAAGGCCTATATATGGGCAAAATATCACGTCAAAAGCGAAGCTTCACCTGGGAGTTTTTCTCGTCAGTGTGTCAGGCTCGAATCCACTGAGATGAGGGGAGGAGATCTGAAAACTCCGTGTATACTGGGTCTGACTCTGACGCCATAGTTGCCACTCTAAAAGTATCATTTAATAATGTCCGCATTGTTTTATTATTACTGCTAAGTTGCTCTGAGAAATGTGTAGAGCCTGCTAGTTGCTGACTCTAAATAAGGGAAAACCTATTTCGTACCATTGAAGCGACTCTCAAGGTGGATTTTAAAATCGTAGGGAACATACTATCAACCGGATCGGAGTCGAGGTCGGGTCTGGATTTGAAAATCATTCCATAAACAGAGTGGTAGTCCGGATTCGGGCTAGAAAATTTTACAACAGATGAGCTCTAGTATGGGCGTCCTGGTGTGGATCTAGGCGAGGGTATTTGTAGGTGCTGCGAATCTGGTCTGAGTATGGTTATTACTATGCGTGTAGGTAAGGATGTTAGTATTTGCATGTGGGAGATATTCTCTGGTTGTGGTAAGAATGTGGGTTTAGGTGTAGGTATGAGTTTGGGATACTTACTACGGTATTTTGATTTGAGTGTGTGAATCTGAACGTGATCGGCTCAATAGATTAAGAGAAGAATCACATGGACAAGCATAGCTACATTCATACTCATATTCTCCGTTACATCCTCTGATGCATATATTTCATATTGGTGTCAATTGGGCTTGTTAAGTAGTATACTATACACAAACAGTTTAACATTTTGTCAAAGATCAAGCAAGTCGAAGCAACGAGCGTTACTTATTTTGTGTTCGGTCATTAGAACACCTAGCACATTTCGCAGATGACTAGACTCATCGGATCCAAAATTTTTCAGACCTAGATCCGACGAGTTCTAGGTAGAAGCCAAGGATTATTTTCGCGTAAGCCCTCGAAAATATCTACGATAACCTTGATTTTCTCAAAAATAAAGCTTTAAAGTGTGCTACTTTAACTTTAACTCTTACAGCGAAAGTGCATATCTACTTCAGACAGAACCGGAACCTGAGTCCAACTCATCGAATTCGAACTTTCGGATTCGATGCATGCATAAGTTACAGACAAAAAAGGTTTCTCTATTTATTCATTTTTTGCTGTGACTGAACGTCACCATTGTTCCTTAAATGGTTTTGATGCTGGTACGACCTACAATTGAATCTGATACCATTTCTGATATTACAGAGAGTAATTGTTTGGCTTTATCACCGACTCAGATCGAGAAGTGGATGTTATTATCATTTCAATCATCATCTTTCATGCTGATTTAAGGCTTTTTATGTTTATTTCACTCATCATTATGTTTGTAGTCAATCATACTTTCACCATACAAAATGTAAATCAACTTGGTTGAATTTTGATAGAAAACTAATTAGTGTACGAATAACGTGACTTTTCCATTAAACTTGTGTCATTCTCACTCATAGGCTAACCTCTTAACAATACAACTATTTCAAAACCAATTTTCAACTAGTTGCTCCTACGCTTTTCTTTTTTGTTCTGTGCAATGTTCAATTAATGAAATTACCATGATGAAAAAATACATATATATGCCCACAGTTGACCAAAATAGGACTTTTACGAGCAGAGCACACGAATGCAATGCTTAAAAATTTTGCCACCAGAACACCAGCATACAACCTTCATTTCTTGGTAAAAACTATGTAGAATTCATCATGTTCCTATGCAATAGAAGCATAAATTTCGCTGAACTCTTTTTTTATCATTATTGAAAGTCCATCAATTTTTTTTCATACAAAAAAATCCCTTCTAGGTACACTACGGCCACGTACTCGAACAAATCACTTACTATGCCTTCTTCTAGTCGTCGTCTCTCATACTTCTGGTACAGAATATCTTCTCCGTTTGACACGCGATTATCTTGTTCATTCGTTGTCTTTTTGTATTTGCTACACCAAATTACATCAAGTTATACCGGGTGCGGCATAAAGATTGCAACATTTAGTATTTTGAAAATATCTCAGCAGAAAACGATCGTATAATCTTGATTCTTTTTTTAAAAGATATGTCGTAAAAAGCTCTACAAAAAATGTAAGAACAATTCCCTATTGACTTATTCTGATTGTGTCTTCCACATTCAAAATGAATAGATCACATGATGATGCTATGTCCCACTGTATTAAATATTTGGAAGACTTTTTTTTATTTTGCAATAGGAAGTTGTTCATACAGTTTTTGTAGTGGTTTCAACGGCGCATCTTTGAAAAAAATCAAGACGTTATCATTTTCCCAAGTCGAGATATTCGCAAAATAACAAAAGTCTTCCAAACATTTTTGTAATACTCAATACAATGGGACATAACATTGTCATGTGACCTGTTCATTTTGAGTATCGGAGACACCATCAGAGGGAGTCAATAGGGATTTGATATTACAGTTTTTGTAGAGCTTTTCACGGCGCATCTTTTACAAAGAAAATCAAGATTGTAGCATTTTCTTAAACCGAGATTTCTACGAAATAAAAAATGTCGTACACATTTTTGACCACTCGGTAGCAACATCACGCAGGTCTTTGATTCTAACCAATTAGAAAAGTCATCTGAGCAAGTCAATAGAAATTTGTTCATACAGTTCTTGTAGAGCTTTTGGCGGCGTATTTTTTGAAAAAAAAAAGTGAAGGTGTTATTATTTTCTCAAGTCGAGATATTTGCAAAATAAAAAAGCCTTCCAAATGTTTAATACAGTGGGACATAGCACCATCATCTGACCTATTCATTTCGAATATAGAAGACACAATCAAAACAAGTTAATAGGAAATTGTTCTTACATTTTTCGTAGAGCTTTTCACAACGCATCTTTTATATAAAGAATCAAGATTATACGATCGATTTCTGCTGAGATATTTGTAAAATACTAAATGTTGCAATCTTTATGCCGCACCCGATATATGACTCAATCATTTTCATGAAGTCCTCGAACGGCTTTTTGACATGGTAACTCTCACAACAGTTTCCTAGCAGGATTTTGGAAGCGATGTGATTTGTGGCAGGACTATTCAGCTCTTTTTATCATTTTTTTAAAATCTAACTGAGAAAAAGCAGCTTTATACTATCAGGCAGACAAGTAGAATTCTAGAGGCTGAATCTACTGAGGAATTGGTCATTTACTGTCAGTTTTTATAGATTTCATCAAGTTCATCTTGACTTCGCCAATTCTACCAAGTTCTTTCTCTAAATATCTAAAGTCTTGAACGCTTTTTGAAAATATTAGGCACCTAGTTATCTATTTCATAGTCGAACATGCGGGTGTATACTTCGTTAAAATAAAACAGAAAGTCTGTTATCAACATTTTATTCTAGGTTAGTTCTTGCTATTTGAACCTGATTCACTGATTTTGAGACCATCTGTAGATTCTAAAACCTATTCATTTGTCTGAACCTATGTGGATAACATACAAAATCGATTGATTTCTTTTTTTTACATATGATTGAAATAATGAGAGCATCATTTTTCCTCTATTATTTGATCTATCATTGATTATATTCTACATTCTCTGATTCTTTTAGGAATCTATTCGCATTATATCACAACGATAATTTTTCGGTAATGAATGGAGCTTAGCTAAAACACTGTCATTATTAGTAATATAAATTGATTGTAGTGACAACATGTCTTCTAAGACCAATTTCCTCGATATATCTAAAAAAACACAAATTCAATCAGGGCAAGGTAAAAATACTAATTTTTTAAAAGCCATTTTCACCGCACCAGAGTAGTTCTTCATGCAGTCATCGAATGCAACGAGTCGGTCACAGATGTCGGTGAATTTCAACAACATTCGTTCGCCAAGAACAGTTTTAGTCACTATCAATCCAATAATGAACAGTATTATTCAACAGATTCACGTACTATGCAACATTTGGTACCGCATGCTGCACTCGCTCCAAAATCATCATACTATTATGAGCACGAGGAGATACTACATACGGGACTAACTGTAATGATTTTAGCTCCTGAAAAATATAAGGATGTCACTAAAGCAAAAAAGTTGTTTGAACCATTTCATATACCTTACAAGTCTAGCCTGGAGGAACTTCGTAATGAGATAATGGAACAGAGACGAAATAAAACAGGTAAATTTGAACAAACAAATATCATATTCTAGAATCAGTTACTATATTTTAAAAAACTTTTGTTTCACTTTATTTTTGATCCTCCACCGCCAACCGTCTATTTTGTGTATAAAAATCATTTGTATGACGAAAAAATTCCCGCAAGAGAAAAAATCAGTTACAATTCTGTTCTATACGTTCTTCTCATACCACCATCCACGGAACCAAACAGGGACACACCAGACGCCAAAAGTAATCTTTGATTAAACAATAACCCTTCTGTATATGTTGTGAAATATTTAGATTCATCCGAATTATATGATCCGAATAATCTTCCGAAATGTTCAGGCATTCTAATACGAGTGTACAAAGAGAATAACAAATATCGAATTGTTAGAATAGAATATTCTGGCAAAATCACACTAAGTGAACTCGTATCCAGAGCTTTCGAGAAACTAGGCGAAGTTTACGATGGTTCTTACAAAATCTATTATCACACCGAGGAGATCTCCCAGGAGAAACATACATCAGAAGAGATTTCTATCTTTCCGATTGATAAGGATGATGGAATGCCTATTATCTTCGACCTTGTGACCACCAAGATTGGACGAAAAATGGAACCTCAGAATATACACATTGTTAATATGAATAGCCGAAAGAGTACGAATGAAGTTGAATCGTCAAACTATGTATCATCTTTTCCGCGTGTACGGGCATATCAAACTCATAACGATGAGAATAACGTGTACATCGATTACGAACCTAAGAGTCAAAATTTCTATCTGAGCTATGCCTACATTTTGTACACACGTCTTTGCTTGTACGCAGCGCTTCATTGTTCATTAACAAAAGAAGATGGCAATGACAAACAGAAATCGAATTTGACATCGAAAAATAAGACACTGGATGATGTGCTAAATGCATTTTATTCGTATTGTGATAAAGATAAATCAGGTCAGTTAGATGAAGATGAATGCAGCATTGCTCTATTAACTCTATTTAAATATATCGAAGATGAACGATATCCGCTAAATGCCGATATACTTCTTCCAATTGTTTATGAACACGTTAATGATCGAAATGGTGAATATTATACTGTAAGAAATTTTCGAACATTAATTATCGATACACTGGCCGAACACATACGTTTTCAAACATTTCACAATTCGGGCGATTTGACGCTACAGTTGATTCGCAAAATGAGTAAAGAAACCGAAAGAATCTCGAATAAAATTAAAGCGACACGAACAGACGATCTTCAACGAAGCAGTGACGAGTCTCCAAATCCATTTTCATTATTAACAGTTCTTCTACACATTGGATATTTAGTATTATATATTTTTGGTCTGCCAATCGTTGCTTTTCTTGTCATATTCAAAAGTTTTCCAAGAAAAAACAGTAAAGAAATAAAGACGAAAACTCCACAGTTGCTTATCATTCTTTTATCAATTATTGGTGGATTAGTTGCATGTATTGTCTATTTAGCTATAATCAATCTTGTCCTCTTTCATATCCATCATGACACTAATGTTGCTTGGCATGTCAGTTCACTGGAAGTTTATTGGCCATTTGCATTGATAACTGGTATTGTTTGCATTGCTTATGTCTATGGATCACCTTTTGCAATGAATTCTGACTACAAAAAGAATCAAAAAATGCAACAAAACTATGATGAAGCTGCATTGGATTTTCTTAAACACAAAGCTGTAGTGAATATGCCTTCTTCGCCTGACAAATATCAGAGTATGACAGTGGCTGAAATAGAACAAAATAAAAAGGATTTATCACCGGCAAAAAATGAATCAAGTGATAATCGAAATAAAAGTTTTGTGATAAAAATCAAAGGTATTTTTGTCGATATGTATCAATACCAAAAGAAAAATTCGAGTTCGAAGATGATATTATTGGAAGTAATCGGACTCATTGTTGTTCTTGGTGTTGCTGTGGTACGTGCATGTGTACCAACAATTTATCGTAAATATAATCCTCGTTACACGTATCCGAATACGACAAAACCATTCCAGGTTGAACTTATTAACATCTGCTTTTATGTTCTTGGTCTTCCTCTCTATTTCATATACCTGTTAATGATTTTATATGGATATTACTTGTACTATGTTTACTTCAACAAGCTCAAGCTCGTTTTACAAGAACCGACCAATAATAATCCATATGGTGTTGCACAAAAGAGTGGTAATGGATACTTTTTGGATTTAAGACATCAACGCAATCTTGAACTTTTCGTCGCTCAGTTACGCCATGTTACCAAACTGAAAGATACGCTTCCATATCAAGTAAGAATACACTCGATAAGATCGAATCGGATATGCCTTTTCCGAATTATGATTGTTAATACATATTGAAGTTTATAACGAGAAAATTGAACTTCTGACTTCATAACTCACAGATCGTGACACACATGTCCACATGGCAGGAGAACACAGCCTAGAGGCAGTCTTGATTGTTATAGTGGTGAACTATTTTACCTTTAAACAAAGTGATTGTAATCAAAATTTCAGAGCAAGAGAAGCTTCAATTCTAAAAAAGAATATTCAGTTTCAGGATATGAGTGAATTTTCTCGAAAATCAGCAAGAAATTACTTCAACTGTATTATGCGTAAAGCCTGGTGCCATCGACCAAGTGCATTGATGAGTGATAAGGAACAATACAGACTCTTTACATGCAGTTAAATACGAATGTCAATTGATGAAATTCTCACAGTGATCATTGTAACCTTCCATAATTCAGAATCGTGATCATGACTGATCGTAACAAAAAATTCTTGGCCATAATGATTGTTAGAATAAGCAGATTTTCAGATTTTCGGTTTTCTAGTGCACCTGAAATACTAAAGTACAAAACAATCCATTTCTTTCCTCTTTGTAATATGTTCCGATGACCTCCATCATAGACTAATAGAAGTGACGCGATTTTTCACTTACAACTAAACCATCTTCATAGTGTTGCATATTTTCATTGTGATGGAATTCCGTCGGAAGCTTTTTTTTACTTTCTCTGTCGCTTAGCTTGCCATGGCTAGTATGGGCGGTGGAGTCATTTTTACTTTAATTCTGGGTATTGTTGCTATTATTCAACTAATTTATTATCAACCTGGTGGCCTTCCAACATTGACAACTCTTCTAGGAATTATTGATATATGTATTCTAATGATTCTTGTCATTATTTTTCTATGCAATATTGTTATTATCAATAGCGCCGTGGAAAATGTAGAAGTATTACTCTTGCGTACGAAAAAGGAAGTATTCGTACAATCAACAAAACGTGAAACACAAGTGAAAGAATGGAATATTAAATATTTGAGTGCGATGACTGAACAATTTGCTGTCGATAAAAGTACTTTTATCGTAACTATCTTTGGATTTGTCATTGATAAACCATTGATCATGAAAGCTGCATTAACAATGATAGGTTCTTTGGTTTCACAGATGATCTTGTTTGTTAAAAAGAAAGCTAATTTAGAGAATGAATAGATATCAACTCACTCTTCTGTTTATGGCACATTTCTGAAATGTTTTACTGTGATATTCTTGCTTGTTCAATTAATCACGAAATATGAACCGAAAAACAATCCCTGAACTATCTCTTCTCTCACATACCGTCTTCAATGGCATTGACACCAAGTCAATTTTTTAAATTTTTTTTTAAATTTTTTTGAAAAAATCATAATCGATTTGAAAAACATTTTTAAATAAATAGAACAACACATAATGGCAAAATCGATGTCTGAACATTGAAAACTAATTAGTCGAACTGATAAGTGCGAGTTGCTATTTTAGCGGACGACGTTGTCATGATGCAATACCCTAAAACGGAAGAAACCAGGATTTCTGGAACTATTTTTGGTATTTTTTCGCTTAAATCTTCAGAAAGTTGTGAGTATAAATAATCTCACATGCTATCCGCCACTGGCTTCCGTTTCTTACTAACCAACTAATATCCGCGTCAGAATTAATGAGAGGTAGATGTAAGCTCAATAACTCGACAACTACGACAGCTATCGATCTACGGTTTTCAGTAATTGAAAGAGAAGGCCATGGAATATGTTTTAATAATATTCCATAGAACGTTTTTTTCGCTCCTGTATACAATTGAGAAAAAACTAAGTGAATTTTATACATAACACTTATTGTGATAAAAATATGAATGATTATGTGTCGCCTCTCTTAAGCTACTCGAACGAGGCAGTATACAATAAGCAAAAGAAAGGTAATTTTTCCACACAGCAAATGCAATATCTTATTTTATTGGCGTGTATAGTTTCATCGCATTTATGGATGAGTGCGCACAAAGCAAGCGCACTTTGCAAAGTTATATATATAGGCAACATAATGCTTTACTCTCATGTATAGAACAACGTCAATATATTACAGTGTTATTCGATTTGTGAGCATACATTTTTTCGTACAAAACAACAAATAAGTGTATTCGTTTCGAAACTATAGTCTTTTCACAAAGCTTTAGTGATCATGAGTATCGAGCATATGTTCTTGTTCTCAAATAGTACCACTCACTTTTTATTATACCATTATTTTGATATTTTGGTTATTGCTTTTCTGGAGGCAAAAACTTTCCAAATTCTTCACGAAATGAACACCAATGATAAGCTACAATAAAGCTGCCCTGCTTATAAAGTGTCTGTAGCATGAATATTCAACCCGGTTTGTTAGTGTCATTGTTGAAGTGCGCCTATTCAACATTTAATCTTTTATCATTTGAAAAAATTCGCATCCTTGAAAATAAAATATGATGGTGCGGATAAATAGGTGCTATAGGCAGTTTTCGTCGAAAGCGTTCTCTTTTAATGAGTGTTAAACGAAGAATGTACTTATCGTAATGCTTCCAGAGCGAATAGTTTTAATACCGCAATCTCTCGTTTTCGTCATGTTCTTTTAGACTTCGATCAAGCTTGAAAATTATTTGAGAATGTGAGCAGAAAAAGTTGAGCTGGCAGGTATTCAGAAGTACGAAATATACCCACAAGTGCAGTTGTTTGAGAACCCTCTAATAGACTTTTGTTCGAGGGTGTGCGGATGCGTGTATCTGAATCTGAGCGTGGGCGTGGGTGTAACCCATACCAACATCAACACCCACACCCCACACCCCAGCAACGCCCACACTCACACCCATAGGAACACGCTTTTTTTATCTTACCCACACCCTTGACATTTTTATTTGAAGAATATTTAAAAATTTTCAATATGGTTAACTAAAATAAAGAACGTCATGATTGTAACACTTGTTGAATATTCATTTTGAATCGTAGAACGAAGAATGTACTCCCTCCTTTTCGATTAACTTAGAAAACATGTGATTTGAATAACCATAATTTATACTTAAGAATAATTTTTCAGTCCGCCTAGCGAAAGTAGGATCAAAGAGAAAGAATTCTGCTCGCACCATACTTCTAGCTAAAACGAAGAGAGCGAAAATGTTTACGTTCTCTTTCTCTTCTATCTTTCTTTGAGTTGCTCATTTTCATCTTAACGCCGTTTTCCTATGATGTACCTTTTATTTGTTTGTTTGTTTGAAATAATGTCAATATTAGGTAGTCCACTATGGCTGGTTTTGGGTGCGTGGCGTGTAAGTATGAGTGTGAGTATGCAGATGGCGCAAAAATTATTAGTACGATTTTGTTTTCGATGAAAAATAATCAAAATAAGAGCTTTTCTAGATTTGGTGAATATCAAAAAACCCGGCCAAGTCTTCTAGTATTTACAGTATAGAAATCAAGATTATTGACTGAACCTATGCAAAGTTATAGGTCAATCTTTGAAAATCATGCATATTTTTTATGCAAGAATTATTCGTACTATATCTATGAGAGTGAAATTTTGGTCCTTCATGAGATAAAAAAATTTAATTATAAAGTCATTAGACTTAAGTAAGAATTAGTGATAGATTCGTAGTATTTCTTTTTTTTTGTAAGTTGTGATTCTATTGAATAAGGAGAGTTAGTTATTGAAAAACACCGAACCTCTGTTTTGAAACATCTTCATCAGAAAATCTGAAATTAGC